ACAGGGTTGGAAATTCTATGTGGTCAGTAATTCAGACATATTTTAGTAGTAAGTTAATAGTTGATAAGATGGAATGGTCACTACGAGTTGTGAACTCTGTCCAGTGTTCCACACCACTTCATCACACATTCATAACAATTTCTATGAAATGGGTGTGATTATTATCACCATTTCATATTTGAAGTCACAGAAGTTAACCAATATGTGTAAGATCTTACTGACTGTAAGGGCCAGAACTGGATCTCAAATGTAATTTGTCTGAGATCTTGGTCACTTTGTTACACTAGCACCTTCTGATGTCAACATTACTACATAATAGGAATGTAAAGTAATCATATACTTTAGAAAATTTGAGGAAACTTTTTATGTGGATAAGAAAACAATTACAGACTGATGGAAGCAGTAAGGCTCCATTTAAATAAAAAAGTGAACATATTTATTATTTAGGCTCAACAATTGCTTCCTTACATTTTCCTAGACATAAATATTCTTTCTGTTAATTCTACAAACATTTTTTGCATACACACAAGGTCAACCCCTGTTCCACATTTATTATTAGACAAAGCCAAGTAAAATATGTTTTATCTATTGTTCTACAGTTACTTTAGTTTTTATGGTTGCATAGACTATCACAGGAGGTAGGGTAGACCTCAGAGTCTCTGAAAATTGTATAACAGGTAGATCAGTATGCTATATTTTTAAACCTATACATAATGGTTCAAACACCAAGTATATTCAATCATACAAAGTTAAGAGAAATGAGTAATTCTAGTGATGAGCAGGAAAGGCACACAGTAGTCTGCCATTTTCTGATTCTGGAAAGTGTGAAAATGCTCAACAAAAGGATGAGAATGTGTATGTCACAAAGATACAGAAGCCAAAGTGATGTCACCCACTGGCCAAATTCAAGGTAATTTGCACATCAAAATAATTAAACACAGTAATTAAGTAATAACAATTACCAATAATTTTTAAAATTTGGGAATCCATGTCATAAGAAGTTAAATAACTGAGAAATATCCATTTGAACATCAAAGTAAAGACTGATTCATGAAAGCACCACAAAGATGTCAAAAGTAAGGGGAGAATTAACCAATAGCAAATATTTACATGTGTTGGCCTTACAAATCTCTCCTCACAGACTGATTACTGATAGCATGAGGGAGGAAAAAGGAAGACACCAGGAAGTATGGAAACCAGAGAAAACAGAGATTCTGTAACTGAAATTAACATCACGAATAAAGGACATGTGGACATCATGTGCCTTGTGTATGATTCTCTGAGAAGGATACATTCTTGCTTATTTAATTTCAGATGACCATAATTAGAATGTAATCACCAGGAAACATGAGACAAACCCCCAAATGAGAAAAATTCTATTTTTAAAAAGGGTATAAACACTGTTGGGAATTATCAGTCCTCAGTAATGACAAAGAAAGGCTGGGAAATTAATCCCCAAGCTAAAGTAGTATGATGGCTAAATATAATATAGGATCCTGGATTGAATTTTGTATGAGACAGAAAGGTATTCTGAGAGGATACTATTGGATCAGTTGGCAAAATTGGAATATGGACTAATTGTATCAAGCATGATACCAATGTTAGATTTGCTGAAGTTGAAAACTGCTAATATAAAGAGAGTGTCCTTCCTCTTCAGAAACACCACTGAAATATCTAGAGATAAAAGAAGCTAAAAGGTATGCCTTCAATACTTTGAAACAATCACTTGTCTCAAATCACTGAATGTGTATATCTACATGTATATACCTACAGTTCCTTACTTAATGATGGTGAAACACAATCTTTAAACTTGACCATAGTGTAAAAATGACACATTTTCAATAGAAACTATTTTGTGAACTTTGATTTTTCTCTGGCTGCCTGTATGCAGTACGATGCTATCATGAATCTAGGCAGTGACAGCAAGCCACAAGTACTAGCCAATCATGCTGACAATCCACTACACTCTTCAGTGAGCTGTAGGGTTCTGGTAAGTTAGGTATTCAAATGCATTTTTGATTTACAATATTTTAACCTTAAGATGGCTTTATCAGGATGTTGCCTCTTTGTCAGTCAAGAAACTTCTGTATATACGTAATGATACATCCTCAACAAAAAGCAAAGGATGAATTAAATGGACAAAATAATTATGGCTGAAACTGAACAAAAGACATAAGGTGCTTATATTTTTCCTGGAACATTTTTAAATATAAAGTTGAAATTCATTCCCAAATATTGAATAGTAAAAAATACAAAAGATATCATTAGTATAGATGAACCGTAGGGGAGCACACATATCAGAAATTATCTCAAGAAAAATATTTTTGGTGGAGGTACACTGAGTTGCTTGAACTAACATTAGAATGGCCACTCCAACTGGTTCTAGTGATGCTCATGGTCGGTTGAACACACAGCTTTATTTTTCTGTAGTTTAGGGAAAACCTCTGTTGTATTGTCATCTTGTGAATAGTCATTTACTATTAGATATAAAGATTAGAATTGACCACGAATGATCCTCCAAGAATGATCAAAAGCACTAATCAAAATGTAAACAAATCACACATGTACAAAAGTACCATTGCTTCCAGTACATGGTGACATGAGCCATACCTTCATGTCTTTTTAGCAGTAAGCCTTGTTCATATGTTGACAGCTCTTTTAAGAGATAATTTTTTCATGATATAGCAAATGAAAGCAGAGTATCATACAATATACTTAGGTAAACTATGAACATATTTATGAAATTCAGAATTCTCCTTTCAAATATAAATAAGTTGAAAAAAGCTAATAGAATTATCAGATATGTTACTTAAGGTACAAATTTCATGATGTTGTGCATTTGAATATAGATCATTAATGAACTGTAATTTGAAATTATTGGAAGCATTTATAAAAATAACCTCTAAGTCAAGCTATTCATTGTTTAATAGTTAATATTTATGCTAATTTTACTCATTTTCTCAGCATGGCAGGCTTACAAAAACAAGTCTGTACAATTTAACTTATAAATCCAATCTGTCTTCTTCCAGCTTCATGATGTTATCCATTATCATTATTCTAATAACTTCACTAACCAACATTCCTACTATTTAATTAAACTAAAAATGTATCTAAATACTTAATGAAAGAATATGCATAATGACAAGCACTGCAAATAGCAGTCAAGTCCAAAATATTAATCTTAAATTATATGAAGATGAGATTATGTGCTGCATTTTTATAAAAATTATACTGTCATATCAGATTCAAATGCCTGGAAAGATGCTTAATAGTCAGCTGTACATTTACATATTATACTTTTTACACATTTACACATTTACATTTACACATTATACTTTTAAAACAAATTTATACCTATTATCTTAATTCACACAATAACCAGGACACATGGTTGATCAAATGGTTGATAATTATAGTTAGGTAGGGGAAATATGCTGAAGAGATCTAGTTAGTGATGACATTTTGGATCCCTCAAAAATGAAGAGAGTGAGTTTTAAGTATTTTTACTACAAAAATAACTGTGAGTTAATGCATCTATAATTAGGTTTTTCCATTCTACAAGGTATATATACTTCAAACCATCATGTTATACATGATAAATGAGTATAATTTTGTCTGTCAATATAAAAAATAGCCAGAGATTATTATGCAATTTTTGGAAAGCAGGAAACTAGCTAAGCATTACTGAAGCTCGGAGAACTGCACAAGGAATGGCTGAGTTGATGCATAAAGAAGTCACCTTAAAAGCACATGGATCTAACAACTACTAGTCCCGAATTTGTTTCTCTTTTACCCTATGGAGAATCTGGCCATGAGTTCAGCGCTCTCATACCAATTTTATGATTTCATAGCAGCTCTACTGAGTGAAGTGTCAGTGGTCAAGAGCACACTCCAACTTCACAAATATTACAGGGACCATTAGTCATATTTAGGTAAGCGTGTCTGCTGTGATGTTGATTTTCCCTTCCTGGAATAAGTAACACTAAGAATGTGATGTGGATGAGTCTCATTATAAATGAAGAAACTGAAAGACACTTAAGGATCAGTGATATTAAAGGAAGGATTAGCAGATAACGTAGGTATTCCAATTGCTTCTTTCCAAACCTGTGTAAAAATGTTCCCTTCTGATTTTATTGATAGCAATTTCATCACACCAGCATTGTTGGTGTTACTTTGACTATCATAAAATAAAATAAAATTATAACAAAATGCAATTTGATTTATTTGAAATGAAGTAGGATCTTATCTGTTAAAAGTATCACTGTCGTTTCCAAGGAATGCCCAAAACTACACAGTTTGAGCTTTAAATTTTGCACAACTATTAGAGCAGTGGTTGTGAAAATAGATCTGTTTGGATGATGATTATCATCACCTTCTTAAAACTGACTTAATCTCTTTGGGGAGGACACACACCGTAGTAAAAGCACTGGGGACCCATAAACACATCCCAGCCTTGATTTTACCTACCTGTGCTGTCTATGTGTATAAGTTACTTACACTCTAGGGTTTCTAGATCCCTCATCAGTTAAAATTTAATTCTAACTCCAAAATCCTTGATTTTGAACAGCAGTTTGAAATTAGACCCAGCAACCTCACAATTTGTATAATTTCATCTCCCCTGATTACTTTACCAGTTCACGCTGGCCTATTAACATGTAAATGCCGATTGAATAAATCCCTTACACACTGAAATGATCTTTCTCTTATGATATTTCTATTTCAGTCTTTTGTCTATTGATTTATGATTATCCAGTATACTAAAGTGAAAATAACCTTGAGTAGGAATCAAAAGATAGTTTTATTCTGGCCTCTCCCAGAGTGTTCATTTGACTTTTGTGAACTACAGTGCTCTTAGGTAGAAAGTGTAAGTATTCAACTGTGCATTCTGTCTACCTCAGGAATAAGATACGATTGAAAAGTTGACCCCGAGTTCTGGACAAGTGAGGTTACAGAAGAATAAAGGAGAGCAAACCACAGGGATATGTTCGTCGCCACTCTACCTGATGGGGAGATGTGTCGCCAAGAAATGGACGGCTCTGGCTTCCCAGTGGCCAAACAAGTAAGGGTGACATTGGTTCCTTCGTTGATGGTCATGTCACTGGAGATGTCGTATATCTTCGGAGGAACTGAAATGGCAAAACATGCAGTGGTCAGTAAAAAAACCACTATTGTTGAACTACAGCAACTAACTTCTTGATATCCTAGAATAAAGATACGGCAACAAAATTTCCTCCTATCTTCTGGTCTTAATCTAAAAGATGAATTCTACTGGACCCCAAGACTATAAAAGCTTTCATTTGTTGTTGATGTTGTTGGCTGGCTTTATTTTTCCCTAATTGTTAGATATAAAATACTTAAAGATGAATGGAATAGTTAATGTAAAGTGTTAAATATTGATTAAATTATTTATTGAGTTATTTGTGCTTAATGAAGTAGATTACATCAGCCTGTTTATTCTATTGAAGTATCTTTACAGCAAGGATGGATTGTCTGCTGAATGTTTAAATGAAAGTGAAAATCTTGAAGAAACTTCAAACGGCAGAACAATTATTCCTACACGATGACTAAAAAGTTGCATAAGGCAGGACATGCACTTGGAGGAAAGATTTCAGAGTCTCAAAGCCATTTTCAGCTTTGATATTTTACTTATGAGATTGTAGGGCTAGATTTTCTTGGAGTTTATGTTCCAAGGAGCACAAATTCTAAGGCATATGAAAGGTCAATTCAATGAGTTCTCACTCATGTCGATCATGACTAGAAAATGCTAGTTGAAAACATCTCTTGGTACTACTCAGAGCCTGTGTTTACGCTTATGCACTGTGAATTTGCAAGAGTGATGGGAAATATTAGACTGTGTGTCTTCTGATGTATTAGACTATGGAAGCTTTTGTCTAGAATTGTTGAACATGGGATAAAATTTGGGAAATGCTGGAAGTAACTATCTCTAAATTAACTTCTGGGATTATATTAACATATTTTCTAGGAGTCCAAATTTCTCACTTAACCTTCAAATGGCATGGATATGAATTCTGTGTTCTCTACAAGCAGGGTTTTTTACCCAGATGAAGATACATAAACTCTCTCAGTATGGGGCCAGGGATTTAGCTCAGTGGTTTGGCCGCCTGCTGTGCAAGCGCAAAGACCTGAGTTCGATCCCCTGTACCAAAAAAAAAAAACTCTCTCAGCCTTGGTGTCTTCCTACAAAAGCTGGAGACAGTGATAGTATAGACCCTGTAAGCTGCAAAGGGGGTAAAGGTTTGAGTGTGTCGATATACGTTAAAGGGCAGAGAAGTGTCTCTGGCATCAGCATTAGCTGCTGGGACTGGATATTGGAAAGTACATTTAACATGCGTGCATGAACTTCAATTTTTGTACTGCCTTTTCCCAGCTTTAAAACAGTTCTGGATCTTCATAACTTTGATGGTGTGTAGGATTTGGCTTACTTTATAAATATTATAGTATGCTGATGTCCCAGGTCTAATTTAAAGATAAGGCAATTACTTTGGTAATTGTTAAGAAAACTATGACCTTTAAAAACGGAGATGCTTTTGATTCATTCTGTTTCTTTAAGCAAGAAACATTTCCATAGCTATTCCTAAAACCAGTAACTATATATCCATCAACAGATGAAAGGATAAAAAGTGTGGTATTTATACATAATGGAGTACTACTCTGCCGTAAAAAAGATAAACTTAAACTTGGGTCATTTGTAGGAAAATCAATGTATCTTGAGACCATAATGGTAAGTGAAGTAATTCAGCCACGTAAGCTTAAACATTGCGTGGTTTTTCTTATATGAAAAACTGTATCTTTATATAGATGTAGTTATGTGTGTGCGTATATATATATATATATATACACACACATACGTATATATACATATATTCGTATATATACGTATATACATATATACGTATATATACATATATTCGTATATATACATATATACATATATACGTATATATTTGTATACGTATATATATATATGACAGAAAATAGGAAAAAAGAGGAGAAAAAGGTAATGTAATCCACTGCAGAAAATGTATCTCAAAAGTACAATTGTTTTATGTTTTATATGTCCTTTGGCCTAATAGTTTGGTTTTCAATCTGTATGTATGATATTTCACTGTATAATGTCTTATAAGATAAATAAATGAATGTGATGGTGGAAAAATAAAAGGTAGGAGGATGGAGGATAGAAAAAGAAGGGAATTGAGATGTGTTATGTACATGTACCAATCCCCTGCAATGAATGTAGTCATTATATACTACAAACACGTACCACTGAAAGTGGGGAAAAAAACAGTAACTAAAATGTGCTGTAACTATACACTAAATTAGTCACACTTTGAATATTATCTCTGGTTTTTTAATGGAACCACAATTTTGCTACAAAAAATCTGGATGTATGATTACAAATATAAAGTATTTGATTATATGAAACTGTTGATGTGATTAGGCAAAAGACAGGTTCTTAGGTGATATAGTATAACCATTCCTAAATGATATTTTAATTGGAATTTCAAACAAATTATCACGCAACTCTTTAGTGAGCTCTTCTCAAACACATTCCAAACAAAAGACAATTTTCAGCTTAACTGAAACAGAGTGGAAGCAAAGATATTAAAGTACTCTAGAAAGAAAATAGAGAAAAATTTGCCTGATTTTCTGGTGAACTGGAGAGTTAATAAAAGTAAAGTTAGGCTGAGCATGGTGGTGCATGCCTGTAATCCAGCACTTGAGAGGCTGGGGCAGGTGACTTGCCATGAGTTCAAGACCAGCCTGAAATGCATAGTGAGACCCTGTCTCAAAAAAAAAATGAGGTTAGAACAGTAAACAAAAATATTATTTTGATATTTGGATGTACGCATAAGTTTAGTATAGAAAGCTGTGAAATATATGTGGAGATATATATATATCTGAACTCATATATGTATACACACATGAATGCATGCATACATACAGATCACTGCTAAAAACATTAAGAAAGAAGTTATATAGCATTTTTTGACTTTACATAGAAGGCACTATATAGAGCTCTTAGTTTAGTCTGGCTACTATATTTAAATGATGGTGTATCATAAAAGATATAATCTATCCTCTAAGGTATAGTACACTATTGGGTAAATTTTATCTGATCAAAAAATACATTGGTTGCATCTTTATACACCTGCCTATATTTGAGGTGCTAACTATCAGAGTAAGCTAATATTAAGAACTCGTGTTTTTCTACAAAATCAAACAATCAAGTCTCTTAGCAAGAAACTTAGATTTGACATTGAAATATGGGAAAAAATATGGCAGGGGGAGGCAGGGAATTCCAGGTGTGACTTGTCATGTCAGTGACTGCAGTCACCTCCAGGGCCTCATGATTCAGATTGTGCCACAGGCAAGAAGCACCTGGAAAGAGAACGTTAGTGAGAGAAAATCATCTGGTGTGGCTCATACTCCCCAGAATGAATCACCTGTTGACAAAGGCGCTCTGTAAGGAGGACAGGGAAATTCCTCTTAGGCACTGTGGCTTGAAGAGGGAATCTATATCTATTTCTATATATCTCTCTATATATTCTGATTATTCAAAATCACTGTTTATTCAGTGTTCACAATTTGCAAATTTTTATTGAGTATTATGGAGGAAATGATTCTAAGGTCAAACAAAATGCAAAAATTTAAAATCATAATCCTTACCCTGAGAAATTTAAAATAAAAGGAGAAAAGCACATGGTGAAGCAACCAAGAGAAAGTATTTTCCACATTCTCCTTTCCCCTTTTATATAAGTAACTGATTCAACACATACATCTTGTTTCAAATCAGTAAAGACTTCTTTCATGTTGATTTCTCCTAAAGTGAATCATATGGTTTATGCACCAAGTTATTCAGTATAGTGCTATACATAGCACAGGACACCTGTTAACAACCTCAGTGTAGGACAACAGAAATGGAAATGGGCAGAATCAGTTAGGTGGATGATACCAACAGATGTCAACCCTGTGAGCACAGTAAAGTTTGGTCCTAGAGAAGGACTTGGCATAGTCACAGGTCACATCAGCCTAAGGGAAATGCAAGACGGGAGAGATGCTTCCTCCCTGGATGTAGCAGCAGGGCAGAATGGCAACACTTCAAGCTTCTGAATTGGTTCTGGGAGCTTCCACTAGTTTACAGTGTTTGTTTGTTTTTTGTTTGTTTTGTTTTTTAGATGAATGCACTCAGATTGGGGGATCTCAAGCTTTGAGGATGTTTGTAACATCTTATGGTATGTCTGTTTTTCTAAGGACTGTTTTCATTTATTTATTTATTTATTTATTTATTTATTTATTTATTTATTGAGACAGTGGCTCTCTATATAGTTCAGGCTGATCTTGAACTCACTTTGTAGCTAAGCTTGGCCTTGAACTCACAGTGATCCTTCTGCCTCAGCCTTCTGAGTGCTGGGATTACAGGGATGTGCCACCACGCCCAGCTCTGTAAGGGCTTTCATTAAAAACAATAGCAACAACAAAAAACAGAAACATGAGGAGGGATTTTTAAAGTAACTTACTAAGTATATGTTCCTTTTCTATAGACCTTATTTCAAATTTTAAAATAATACATATAAAGGGAACCAGATACATTCAATCAGCTTAATTTTAAGGCATTAAATAATTACAGATTTTAAAAAATAGTTTGGATTGTGATGCACGCTCTTTTCATATTCATGACTAAGGGCAGTGTAACAACGAAATAGATAACACATCTGTTATGGATAATATCTATATATGGCTTAGATGTCTCCCCAAAGCCTCATGCAGTCATAAGTGGGGCTTCATGGAGCCTGTGTCCATGATGAGAAGGCCCACCCTGGGTATGGGTGACACCAAGCACAAGACTTGTAGCCTGAATGGGATAAAAGCAAAAGGCAGGCTTGCTGATGCTGTTTGCTGCTTGCTGCCTCCTGTGTGCCTTGCCATGGACTGTTCCTCTTCTGCGATGCCACTCAGCCTTGGAACCAGCCGACTATGCACTGGAACCTCTGCAAACTGAACTGAATAAACCTTTACTCCTTTAACTTGTGGGTGTTGGCTATCTCCTTTCACCAACGAGAAAAGTAACTAAGATGCCATCTAAATGTGAATCTGTTCAATACGC